CCCCGTGATCTTTAAGCCTCGGGCAGAAAGCTGAGCTGGCCAAGTGGCAGCCCAGGCCAGCTGCTCAGTGAGACTACCTCCCTCTCTGCAGGGCCCCATGGATCCCTGGGGCAGGGTCAGCGCAGGAACAGAGGCCCCACATCTCGGCACCCGCAGGTCAGAACCACACAGAGAAAATGTGAGTACTTGCCACTTCTGCTTCTGGAAGCCGAGGTCTTAGCTCCGGCCTGACCGTGCAAGTTGTGTTCTGTGGGAGCCAGGGGATAGAATGCCAGAAACTGGGATTCTGGGACACAGAACTGTTACTGAATGCCAGCTACCTTTCAGTTTTGCCATGGATGTTCCGATGTGGTGCTTAAAACAACACACATTTATTACCTGAGTACAGTTCTAGAGGTCAAAAGTCCCAAGTGGGTCAGACCAAGTTAAACTCCTGGTGTCAGCAAAGGCTGTAAGGGAAAATATGTTTCTTCTTCCAGCTTCTGGAGGCCACCCACATTCCTTGGCTTGCAGTCCCCTTCCAGCAGTCACATCGCTCTGACTTGCGCTTCTGTCCTCTCTTCTGACTGCTTCTCCTACCTCCCTCCTGTATATTTAAGGACGCTTTTACTGATATTGGGCACACCTGGATAATCCAGGAAAACCACCCACCTCAAGGTCCTTATAATCACATCTACACGGCCCCTTTTACCATGTAAGAGTTACAGGCTCCAGGGATGAGGACCTGAACATCATTGGCTGGGGGGGGGAGGGTTGGGGAGCATTATCCTGCCTGCCAGACATACTCCGCATACTGTGACTCCAGGAGATGGCATGTCCCATCGTTTTCTTCATTCAGCAGATAAGGGACTGAGGTGTGCCGAGGTTGTATAAGTTGCCCGGGGTCACACAGCTAACTCATGGCAGAGCTGGGACTCCAACCTAGGGCTGTCCAGCTCCAAGCCGCCTTGTCTGAGGTGAAGGGCAGGAGACCCGCTACAGTGGCAGAGGCTTGGGGGCCCCGAAGCTCCGGGACCTGGCCAACAGCAGCACCAGGCAGGTGTTTAGAGTTTAGGGAATTTCCTGGGTAGATGGTGCAGGGCACATTTCCATCCTGGGTCTACATCCAGAGAGAGCTGGGTGCAAAGTCCAGTCCTGCCTCTAATTTGCTGAGAGACCAGATACCTAGGGCAAATTCATTCTACTCTCTCCAACTTCCTCATGTGTGAGATGGCAGGGAGGAGAGCCTGGAGGGGTTGATCCCAGTGTCCCTCTCAGCTTGGGTCCCGCACAGGCTCTATGACTCAGGGCCCATCGTCGGTGACCTGGTGTTGGAGGTCCCGGGCCTCCCGAGAGGACCCGTGGAGGACACTGCTGCCAACGCCAGTGAGCACACAGTTTGCGTTCACAGGACTCCCCCGGGGTCCTCCGACGACCCCAGCCATTTCTGTCTCCATTTTACTGAGAGGAAACCAAGGCTCAGAGAGATTACATAACTGGCTTGCGATCCTTCTCCAGGATTTTGCAAGTTGGAGGACGAAGGAAGTGAGAAACCAGGTCTCCTGCCGCCTCCTACTCCAGAGGTCTTTCCCCCTGCACCGGTGACCCCTGAAGGCTGGTATCCATTCTCACCGTGTGTGATAGAACATAAGCTCGAACAAGGCAAAGATATATATGGATTCAATTTAAGAGACTGTCCTTGGTTCTGACATTATGCCCTTTTGTGGGCTGTTAAAAAAAAAAATCATTTCTTTTTTGCAGAGCTGGTCCTGGTAGACGGGGTCTGGGTGAGTGGCTAGGGCCGTGGGTAACGTTTTTACATGACAGAAATCAAGAGCTGGCAATTCGCAGTTGGTCTCTAGAATTCATTTTGAAATGCCAGGTCTTCAAAATCTCAGTCTGGGAGCCACTGAGCCCTCCCTCTACACTCTCCCCAGGCCACTCCCTGGCTCCACGGGTCCCCTTAGGCTAAGGGTTTGGGAGGTCTGGAAGAGCCTGGAGAGAGGTATGCTGACCTGCTGGGACAAAATAGAAAACAGGGTGTTGGTGGGAAGACCGTCTGCTGCCTTTGCAGGGGAAGGGCAGGGCGGGTGCTAAATAATCTCCTTGGAATGCAAGGAGACAGTGGGGAGGGCATCTCCTGAGTGGAGGAGTCCCGGCCATCCCTGGCCAGCTGGTGTCTCTTGCCTCCTTCCCTCCTCTCCCCGGCTGCACTGGCACGACAGACACTGGAGGGCACATATCCCCCTCCCCCTCAGGAGAAGGGATGGGTCCAGATGACCCCGACCCTGAGGACCTGCGAGCCTGCAACCACCCCGTGGCCCCCGCCTGAACCCTTGATCCCTGGCCCTGCAGCCCCCACAGCTTCCTGTTTGCCCACTCTATTTGTCCGGCCCCAGGGACAGAGCTGATCCTTGAACTCTAAGTTCCACATCGCCAGGACCAGTGAGCAGCAGCAAGGCTTGGGCTGGGCTTATCAGCCTCCCAGCCCAGCCCCTGCCTGGAGACATAAATAGGCTAGGAGAGCTGGCAGCTCAGAGACGGCTGGAGCCCTTGAGGTAAGTGCTGCCATCTGAGGCTCGGGGGTCCTGGCTCCAGACTGTCCCCATGCTGGGACTCTGGGTTCTGAGACCCTCTCCCACTCTGTCCTGCCCCCACCCCTGGCTAAAATGAGCGGGAGAACACTGGGCTCCTCCACGCTAGAGGCCTGCCCCGCTCAGCCCGGGACCCTCTTCTCCTCCAGGTCACCCACGTCCCTTCAGGATGAAAGCCGTGGTGCTGACCTTGGCTGTGCTCTTCCTCACGGGTAGGTACCCCGTGCCCCCCAACTTAGGAAGCCAGCCTTTGGCAGAGGGCCCTTCTCCCTAAGTCCCTGTGGGCCACCCTCCTGGGGACAGGGAGCAGGATTTCTCACCCCCTCTTCCCTGCCTCCAAGCCTGGCATTTCAGCGCCGATCCTGGTCCAGAGCAGGCCTGATCTGGGTCTCCCCTCTCACCCGCAGGGAGCCAGGCTCGGCATTTCTGGCAGCAAGATGACCCCCAGTCACCTTGGGATCGAGTCAAGGATTTAGTTACCGTGTACGTGGATGCAGTCAAAGACGGCGGCAGAGAGTATGTGGCCCAGTTTGAAGCCTCCGCCTTGGGAAAACAGCTGAAGTAAGGACCCAGCCTGGGGCCATGGGCAGGGGCAGGGGTTGCGCTTTCTGGGGGACAGAGAGGCCTGTGGGAAGATGTAGCCACAATGGCCGGATCACCTATTTCATGGGCCCCATAGAAGGCCTGGAACACAGGAATGGGATCCCCCAAATGCCCATCATCTCAGAACTCATTTTAGGGAGAATAATATGTGGTAGTGCCGTAGCAAGGGGCAGATCTGTGCTGCCGGCTCAGCAATCACAGCGCCTTTTGCCTGCAAGTGTAACCCAGCCCCTTCCCGTTCTTAGCTACCTGCCCCGCTCCTGCCCAGCAACAGGGGTGGCCGTCTTCAGAGACGACGACGGCCTGGGAGTGGGGAGACGAGGTCCTTGAGGCCCAGCTTTGGGGCCAGGCAAGACTGGGCAGCAAGCCCAGCTTCGTCTCTTACTAACTCCTCAGTCCGTCAGTACAACGGGACGCGGCGGCGATGGGAGCACGGCGGGCTGCCCTGGCGGGGACCGTGTGTAGGGCAAGCTAGGCTGGGCTCTGGCCCCCGGGCTGCGGCACGTCGACAGGTGCCGCTCGGGGCTCACCGCAGGCGGCCCCGGGGCTGGCCCGGGGTGCCCCGGCAGGGAGGCCACCCCTGAGCCCCTCGCTCTCCCCGCCCCACCCCTTCAGCCTGAAACTCCTAGACAACTGGGACACCTTGGGCAGCACGGTCACCAAGCTGCGCGAGCAGATCGGCCCGGTCACCCAGGAGTTCTGGGATAACCTGGAGAAGGAGACGGAGGTGCTGAGGCAGGAGATGAGCAAGGATCTGGAGGAGGTGAAGCAGAAGGTGCAGCCCTACCTGGACGACTTCCAGAAAAAGTTGCAAGAGGAGGTGGAGCTGTACCGCCAGAAGGTGGCGCCGCTGGGCACGGAGCTGCGCGAGGGCGCGCGCCAGAAGCTGCAGGAGCTGCACGAGAAGCTGAGCCCGCTGGGCGAGGAGCTGCGCGACCGCGCGCGCACCCACGTGGACGCGCTGCGCGCGCAGCTGGCCCCCTACAGCGACGAGCTGCGCGAGCGCCTGGCCGCGCGGCTGCAGGCGCTCAAGGAGAGCGGCGGCGCCAGCCTGGCCGAGTACCACGCCAAGGCCAGCGAGCACCTGAGCACGCTCAGCGAGAAGGCCAAGCCCGCGCTGGAGGACCTCCGCCAGGGCCTGCTGCCCGTGCTGGAGAGCTTCAAGGTCGGCTTAATGGCCATCGTCGACGAGGCCACCAAGAAGCTGAACGCTCAGTGACGCGCCGGGGACCAGAGGGGGGCCGCCTCGGGCTCCCCTGGCCTTCGATCGAGTTCTTAGAATAAACGTTTTCAAAGCGGGACGCCCGTGTTGGGCTGCATTGTTTTGTTTTGTTTTTGTGTTTGTTGAGGCTTCAGTTGTGATTTTTAAACAATAAAATGTGCTCCAAAAAACTATAAATTCTTTTTTGGGGGGGAGAATGGGAACGGGGTGCGGGCGGCGGAGGGGACGTCACCGCGCCAGGGCCTCTGACCAGGGGACAGGGAGCCGGAGCCCATCAGCTCGGAACCTGGGCCCCTCAGGGTCCTCATGCGAGGACCCGGCCGCTAGGAGTGAGGTAGTGGATGGAGTCCCCTTCCCGAGGAGGCCCAAACAGAGAAGAAATCATAGAGGACCAGGCAAGGTGACAGACAATCCAACGCCGAGTAACCTGAAAACTCCTCATGTGAGAAGAACCGCAGCCCTGTGAGGGTCAGGAAACAAGGCTGGCTTTGCTGGGAGAAGTGGGCTCCATCCGGGTGGGGAGTGTCACCCCCCCCTCCCCCCCCCCCACAGGCCAGGCCAGGAGCCCCACCAGCACTCTGGCTCTAGGTGGGCTGGGGTGGGCCTCAAGGAGCCCCTGGGGGTGGAAGGATTAGGGACGAGCTCAAACGAAGAGCTTAGCCTTTGCTCCTTCCTTCTTGATGAATTCCAAAAACGAGAAAACAGACGCTTCCCTTTTCTTTTTTTCACAAGGGCAGCATGCCACTCCTCAGGGTCCCGCCCTTTCCAGAAGCAGCGGATGTTTCCTCCAGCCCAGCTGTGTAAACCAGCCCTCCCCCCCGCGGGGCTCCAAGCCTGAGTCAGAACAATAACCCCCACCTGATTACAGGTAATTAGCCCACTTTTATTTCTAAGATGCATTCATATCCGTCATCTCACTGCATCCTCCCCCAAATCCTGGGTAGACCGCCGCTACATCCATGATACTGATGACAAAGCTGAACCCGGAAGTCACAGGCCAGGGCTGAAGAGCTGGATGGGTTCGGTAGCCCTTTTCAGACGCATTCTGGGTCGTTTTTTAAAAAAGCGTGTGGTCAGGCACTCGAGTTCACACGGCTGTGCACAGGCGCATGCACGTTCTCAAGCGCACACTCCTATGTGCAGCCGGCCCCCTCTTCACACTCAGGTACTTACCCCCATGTGCGTGCCCAGATTCACAGATCAGAGATCTGGGCAGTGCCCTGATGGAACTTTCCCTGCCGTCTCCCCACGGGGCCTTTTGCCCCCTGCCTCTCCCCCCATCTCCAGCGTGTCTTGCAAACTTCTGGGTAAAGCAGTGGGCTTTTTAGTTCCTAGCCATCAAGAGCCGTAATAGGTGTCAAGCCCAGATCTGGGTGAGAACACTTTCCAGGTGTGGGTGCTGGGATCCCTGGCCCGGTTGGGCCAGAAGAAAAGCCCAGGTGGATTTCCAAAGGGAGAGCAGATGTCTCCACATGGGGCCGGAGGTGCTGATGTCAGCCAGATGTGCCAAGGAGCCCCCTGACACCCAGCGTAGGAGTAACGAAGTGTTTTTCTGTGTCAGCTGAGCAGAATATGAGCAGCTGATCTGAGCTTCAGGTCCAGCTCCGCCATTTGCTGATTCTGTGACATTGGGCAAATGCCTTCACCTTTCTGAACCTCGGTTTTTTCCTTGGAAGAGCGAGGGCCTGCCCAAGTAGTCTGTGGTTCTGGGACTCCCTGACGTGAACATCTGTTGGGGGTTGGGGACACAAGGGAAACAGCCTCTGTTGGGTAACTTTGGGTTCCTTCTTAGTTCCTGAGACGCCGGATTCCCCCCGGCTCCAATTCTGGTCCCAAGGGGAAATCAGCTCAGCCTAGAGCAACAAGGATGACCATTTACAAGGTACTTTGATGTGCCAGGTGCTCTGCACAGCCTCATTCATTCATTCAACCAATCTACAGTGGCGGTGGCATTGTTGCACCCACTTAACAGATAAGAAACTAAGGCTGATATAAAATGATGGCCCCCAAACCACAGCCTAGTTGTATCTTATTCCAGCCACTCCCCATCAGCCTCCTTCCCTCAATGTGGCTGAGAGGGCCAGGCGGCCTGGTAGCGTGAGTCAGCTCCACAGAGCTCCACGGACAGCAGTGACAGCTCTGATGATGGATGGCACAAAGATGCCAGGCACGGTGCCTGGCACAGATCACACACTCAAGTCATGTTGTACAGCATCTGACAGTTTATCAAAGTGTTGTCGGACCCCTTACCCCATCTTCTCCTCCACACAAGCCTGTGGAAGCAGAGTTCTCCTGCCTCCGTGTGATGAGGAAACTTGGGCCCAGACACCACCCGACTGCTAACGGGCGCGTAGGGCACTGGCCCCAGGCCGGCTGAGTGGGACGCAGCCCAGCGCCCACCCACAGAAGAGCCCTGGCCCATTTCCACGCCCGAACACACATGGCATGCGTGGGACGTCCCACTCGCGGCAGCTTCTCATCCCGTTTTATTGGCAGGGCAGGAGGCTTGGGGGTGGGCCAGGTCTGGGGTGGGGCGGAAGGTGAGAATGCCGTCACTTTCAAGCGACTTTTGGGATGGCCCAAGGAGCCAGCGGGCTGGATGAGCAGGAAGACGTGGTGCGTCAAGGTCTCACTTGGCTTCAGAGGCTGGCGTCGGTGTGACGGCAAAGGTCGAATCCCAGAACCCGGAGAATTTGCCTGTAAGCGTGCTCCAGTAGTCTTTCAGGGAGGTGAAGCGACCAGTCACCCAGTCCCTGAGGGTTAAATCAGTAAGGGGAAGCAATGGAAGTGGGGGTAAGAGCTCACGTGAAGGCGGCGGGGCCCCTGCCGTATCCCCACTGCCTCTCCACCCTCCCTCTCAACCTCCTCCAGCAACGCCCCTGACACCTCAGGCCAAGACCCCTTCTGCTGTCACCTCAGGCAGAAGAGATGCTGGAGGGGGTGATGGGACCCTAGCACAAGTCCAGCTTGTTTCTCCGGGGTGGGGCAGACCTCTGGTTACCATGGGTCTGCGGCCAGCTGGAGGGGAGTGGTTGAGTGGGAGATTTGTAAAGCCTGGGCTGTCATTCTGTTTGAGGCAAATGATGCCTGCCAGGGTTGCACAACCTGGTGCCTCTGAGTGGTGTGGGGCAGAGGGAAGCAGTCTCTCTTTTGGAAAATCCTCA